TATATATATATATATATATATATATATATATATCATACATTCATCCCCCTTAAGCATTGCAAAGGCTCACAAGATTAGCAGAACCAACCAGAAGTTAATTTTTTCCTTTCAAGAAAATGTATTTCTGACAGATACTCACTCTTCACACGGATTAGCTAACTTCCTCATGTCTGCCAAAGAGATGTGCATGCCACTAGCCTTGAAGTAACTCCCACCTAATTTCACAAGATTTTACGTGAATTGCTCCACTGCATGATGACACAATCATGCAACAAAAGACCTCCACCAATAGGAGGGCAACACATCTCCATGTTCACTAACTCTTCCTATACATTTGTTCTCATGAATCTTCATTCTTTAAAAAGGCAAATAACCCTTTCGCAACAGGCTCAGTATAAAATACACAAGTTTGTTTACACATTTGCACAGGTTAAGTATTTATACTGTAACTTTTAATGCTGTACGTGTATCTTCACAAACTTTGGTAGACTTTTAGTAATGATGCCAAGTCTTTTGTACACTGAAAATCAGATTTTTTTAATGAAGTATTTTTACTAAAGATTTGTATGCGAAATTATCGAGTCTGTTTCGTTACCAGTCCGAGTGCAAAGTGATTTTCATGTCATGATTAAAAACCTATTCTTCATCCCCAAAATCTCTAAAACCTCCTAAGTACATTTAAAACATTTGTTTTCAGTAAAACTTTATATTTTGCTCATTATTTTCTCTACCCTAACTATATACAGGGTCTGTCAATTTGACTGACCTCGTAACCACAATAACAAATTAAGAATAAAAAAATTGTGCTTTTTTTCATTCTAGAATGACTACAAATTATAAAACGAAAACACAAGTGTTTAGTCTAAATAGCTTATTTCTCATAACATTATACATTTATATATATTTATTATTTTTATTATATTGACCTTCCAGTCTTGCCTGGCTAACAATACAGAAGTTACAATGAAACGGCGCACATGCACTCATGTTACCATATCCAATAATATAAAACTGACCTTTAGTCTTTACAAAGTGACCTGTCTTAGCTGTGTTTTAGTGGACTAGTATTTTGTAACATACAATCACATTTCAATTATTATACATTATATATGTATAAAGATTATTACTATTTACAAACAAATTCTTAAACTTATTTTTCTTAAAACACAGAACAGTAAATGAAGAAGTAAAGCAAACAAACATCTCTTCTTGTTATGACCTTTGTATTCGGTTGCTGCTTCTCGTAGCTTGCTAAGCCTTAAGAAATTTCACACGTGGAGGATGTGAAACAAAATAAATTTTTTTTAGGTTTTATATATACAGTTGAAATAACCAAAAAATCATAAATTACTATATCGATACCATAGAATTCCATTATAATTTATAAAGTTTAGTAACCAAGTTGTATTTCTGTCTAAAAAATATGAAATTTCGAGCAGACTAAAGACACAACCTACCTCCTTGAAATCTTGTTTTGAAAGAACGAGATGGTGTCCTAACACATGAAAGTGGCTGAGAAAGCCACTAGAGGGACATTCTGAGCTTTTGATTGGTTATTCATGTCATATACACAAGTAAGTGTTAAAAGGGATTATTTACAAAAATGAAAAGAGGTGAGTGGGGCCTTTGTGTTTGTACATGAGTGATATCTGAGCAAATAGAAAAGACAGGGGGTTCTTTTTTTATATTCTAGCTTGTAATTTGAGTTCCTAATTTGTAGAAAACTATAGACTTTGTATTTTGATATCACAAACAACTAATTTGAACCAGTGCTGCATTCAACATAACACGCGACACACAAAAATCGATATTTAAATGTTTTTTAATATTTACTTTTAAATTAAGAAATTGAATAATGTATAATATTAAAATTTGAATTATAATCTACAGTTTGATACCAAACTTATTGACAAATTCATAAAATAGTAGTTCAATGAAATTTTGAATATAAGTCAACAAACACGATGACATGGCCTTTGACCCGTGACCCGTATCAACATGGTTAAGAAAATGTGCACCAGAAATATGGAGGATAGGTGGAAATGTGTTAAGAGATGAGTATCTATTGGGAATACGTATTCAGGTAAGGATAATGTTAACTCCCGAGACAATAATTCACCTCTGCATACACATTAGCTAGAATTCCACATTTATATGGTGTTACCAGTGCAAAATTTACCTGGATAACTAGTAATTGTCCAAATGGTATTCATGGAGTGTGAAACCCAATGGCATGGGCTCCACAGGAATTACAAACATGACCAAGAGGAAAAATCCTGTGAAGATAATGCAGACAAATATTACAGAACATCTGACCAGGTCACCAAGAGGAAAGGAACACTACTGAAGAAATCTTTGTAACAAAAGGGAGCCATACAAATTATAAGTACACAAGAAGAACGAAGGGATACAGTAAAAATGAATGTAACATGACCCAATGAGTCCTGAAAGCAGGGAAACAAAGTACAGAGGGCTAGAACAGAAGTGGAAGATGCCAAACAGAGCAGAATGTCTAGAGAAGCCATCAGAAGCAATAAGAAGTGCTTCAGATAAAAAGGTGGAACTAGGAAAGGGAATACAAGATGGTAGAGAGAAAAAGACAAAATGAGAAAATGGATAACTAGAAAGTGAAATAGAAGGTAAAGGGCCCAATCTCCAAGCTGACAAATTAAATACCAATGACAGGGAATTTAGAAAAGGAAGAGAAGAAAGTCTACAAAGTAAGACAAAGAACCAAAAATGTGAGGATGATGAAGCATTTGGGCATGAAAAAGAGGCTGTTAGATAAAAGAAACAGTAAAAAACCTAATAACAAGCAAAGAGGAAAGACAGGTTATTACTAGAATCATGGGTCAAAAAGTGAAAAAAAACAATGCAGGCAAAAGAAGTGATGGGGAACATACCTGGAAAGGAAATCCAGAAGGAGAATGAAAGGTTAAGGGTGTTTTACAAATGGTGAAGTACTACCCAAAGCAAATCAGATTACGGTCATAGTCTAACAGATCACTTGGGACTGAGGAGAAAAACATTTGGCCAATGAAATGGTAGTAGGAAGCCAATTAACTTTTTTTTGGGGGGTTAGGAACCTAATATGTAACCACCAAAGTAACCATGATTGGTCATAGTGTAGCTTTAGTTCATGTAAGTGCATCTTGTGCACACTATCAGTACACATTTCAAGTCTTTTGTAAACAAAAATCCGTTTTTTTAATTAAGTATTCTTATTAAAAATTTCTCTGTGAATATATGGAGTCAAACTCACTCAAAATGTTAACTTTTTTGAGTGCAAAGTGATTTTCAAGTTAAGATTATAAAATATCTTTCTTCATTTGAAAACTGTCA